TTTTCAGTATATACTGAGCGAATGGTATATGGCTGCGACTATTTTGGCAATGTGGACCGAAACTGCTTATCAGCCTGAAGGAAGACCGTGATCTGATACGTTGCCTTATACATGATGAGGAAGCAAAGCAAATGCACTCCGGGTCAGGTTATTTCAAACATCCTTGAGGCTAATATGACACATTTCATTACTGATCTGTATCCACAGCAGCAATCCGTAGACAAAACTTAAATTTTGAGTATCCTTCAATAAGCTGTAGAATTCTGATTTATATGCAAGTGGCAGTCTATCATACACTGATATTTATTTTCAAATGTCATTTCCATACACTGTCAGTCAGACAACGGTTGAGGACTTTCAACAAAATATTTCTTATTTGTCCAAGTCGTCTCATGCATCAGTTTCAACCGTATCCGTACTCAGCCTTGCTGCTCAAAGCCGCTTTAGGAAATTCACCATCTGTCCCTCGGCAGAAGCAATAGCCATTCATGGGATGGTTTATGTAAACAGCAGTATAACCATTATGCATATAGCTAAACGACATTTGGATTTTGCCAACTAATTTGGCCCAAAATGGCCCATCGACTGGCTATTTTGGCGCCAAGACAGTTCATAGCGGCTCTGAATATCACCGGGTCAGTTCTTTGCGGACCGACTCAAACTGTCCGCTGTTAGGTAATTTGCTGTGAATTTGGCAGTGACAAAAATTCTAGAAGACGGTGCAACGATAACGTTTCTTTGACGCCACCTTCTGCTGTTTACCTCGGGTCATTAAAGAAGTGCCAATGTATCCTTCTGATCATTAAAAACACATTCATCCAAGTTGTGAGTGGGTACTGAAAATAGGCTAAAGAGGGTTGTTTCTTGCGCTTTGTTTTGCAAAGAAATATACTTGGTTTGTAGAAACTCCAACACCATAGGCGTTGCTACAATTCTAAGTGTCAGATAATAGAAAGAACTCGTCATACTACATTACTCCTGATGTTCACACCACAGAATGTGGCCACCAGCTACAAGTGACCAGCCGAAAGCGTAAGAATGTCATTAACCTTCAGGGATGAAACTGACCAATATAACCCACCTGGATTAGAGCTTCTGATAGGTCTACACTGCTACTTTATGCGGCCATTGACAATATTCCAAGACATAACGATGAGGCTGCCTTGTTGTGCCCGATTTCCCCAATCCTGGTGAATGCAATTTACTGCTTTTTGGTCATCCGGCTGCACTCGTAATCAGACCTTGATTCCAGAATTTAAAAGAATATTCTGCTTACCTGAATTGGAAACACTTGAAGAATGGGCCCAACAATAATGTAGAGCCATCCAAGGGTGCTATTTTGTCCGGAAGGATTTCAACTAAAGTTTCCGGATTTTCACCTAGAAGCCCATGCGACCACATTTCACTTTTGATGTGTATGAACAGAAACTTTAGCTTGCGCTTACCAATTAATTGTTCAGAGTAACAACCAACTGAGTTTTGGGGTTATAGAAGTTTTGTTCGATGTGCAATAGTTTATTCTGCAAAGTCTAAAGGCCAAAAAAGACTGCAACTTGGTCAAGAGACTTGGTCAGAAGACTACCTTTAGATTAGATAAGAGGGCTTCAGACTTACGTCAATGAGTAACAACGTGTGTGAGAAGCCTTCAAAAATCGCATGGAGCGAGAGAAATGTTGAACATCAATTGGAGTGAGCAATGCAGTGCCTTCAAACATTCCCATACTCGACCTCTTGACCTCATCTTGACCCGGACGACCTGTCGGCAAGTGCAAGCGACGGAGCTATATCAAAATCTGTCTTCTGAAAAATATCCACATTGATGGATTGCAGATGGAGTATTACAGATAGCGGAAGTACTCTTTTCCAGACTGCTTGTTTTGGTCTTGACTGACAGCTCAATACCGTAATTCTTTTGCTGCTTCAAAGATCATCAATTTATTGCCTTTTTTACAGACATCGACGTGCTCGATCGTGATTGTTCCTCCGATGATGTCCAGACTTTGCTTCCTAAATTATCAGGTGGACTGACTCCATAAACAACCGTCTACCTTCGAAGTAGAAGTTTCGCAGTGACAACACCACATGAATTGATTAGGATCGCATCGTTATGAGGGCTGACATAGGACTTCTGAATGAATCGGACAACTTTATTCACCTTGACCGCCATAACATATTTGGAGGCGCACTAAAAGTACGAGGCCATTTGGTCCGTTCATTGAATAAAGCTGTGGGTTAATGGTTCGTGAACAACTAGCTTAACCGACAACTGCTGTAAGATGAGTGAGGCAGGCTGACATACCGTGAAATGCTTCCACTTCAATCAGCTGCTTGCGCCTTACCAGGTAAAAAATGTACGAAACGCTTCGGGCTAACCTTTTTAATTAAAGAGTGGAGATTATACACACCATGTGCAGAATATATGTATCAGAGGCATAGGAGGGGCTTATACATGGTGTTCCAGTGTAACACTCCAGTCTAGGCGGTTCAACGTTTATTATGTCCGAAATATTTCAAGTATACTATTTAAACTTTCCGTGGGACAAGAGATTTTGTTTGGGGGATCTCCGGCAAAACAATGTATTGAGAGAGCACTACTGTGGATTCTAAGTTTTTACATATTTTGATCGAAAAGAGCCTGCTAGATTGTATGCGAATCGGTTTATTTACGCGTAGGTTTTTCAAGTCTACGGATTTAACCATGCCCTCAATTTCGATGGCATACTGCTGTTGGAGAAAGCGCAATGCTCGCTGGTGTTTGTAAGTCCCAGTGAGTCAGCTGCATTTGGAACTAAGTTTTTGTATAACGGTCTGGAAAAAACTAGAAATGTTTATATAGGAAACTACCCACAAGGCTGCTAAAAACTCTTAGACAGCCCATGACCGCGTAAAGTGCGGACTGAGAGACTGGCAGATCCGGAAGTTGGACGAACTTATCAAAATCGTCTTTTAGAGTCTCTTCATAAGTCTCCATTATCAGACGCGAACTCATATTGGTACAAGATTGCCACGAGAGACTCAGCTGAATCTCTCGTTTATGATATTCTACAACTGAATGTGCTGCACACAGGTCGCCGCATGATTCAGTTGGCACGATATTCGAGATTTCGCATTATATCTCCATAAAGTAAACTACTCTATCCAATTTAGTTTCAAGTAGAACATAAGGTTGATGGAAACTCGGGGACTGCGCCTACCTGATGAGCCCCAAGAAAGGCGAAACCGGTCGTGGGCTGTCGAAGAGTTTTCAGCAACCTTGAGAGTAGTTTCCTTCATGAAAATATACTGCGATATCTTGAATATCGTGCCGACTGAAACCTAAGGCGGTCTGTGTGAAGCACATTCAGTTGTAGAATATCAAGCGAAAGACCCAGTTGAGTCTCTCATGGAAGCCAAGTTGAATTGCAAATGAGTGTATTTCTAGAAATGTTCATTGTCCATTTACTTGGTTGTGTCATTGATGACCTCGAGTGTTCAACGGGACATAGCATGCCAGTTAACGACTTTTTTGATGCGAGTAGGGATGAAAACATGTCAATAACTCCGAATTTAAACTTGCGAAATGATGAGATAAGTACTGTGGACCAGTTACTTAGGTTGTCGCGCTTTGATTAGACAGAAGAGTGAGATATTCGGATAATAAAACCCGTGTTAGCAGGAGACTCAGATGAATATCAGTTTTAATGATCTTCAATTAAAGGTGCTACTTCCATCAAGGTGAGAACAAAGAAATCTCATTTGACCAAAATAATGCATTTTTAAATTCTGACTCACATCTGATGCCCAAAAATTACCGAATCCACACAGCTTGGGTAGTAGCGATAAAAAAATACTGTTTTCTTGACTATTTTGTTGTCAAGTGGGTGAAACCAGCGTGTTTAGCGAATTGCACAGAAATTCCCATTACACACCCCATTTTGGGGTTCTTCATCCAACAAAACAACTGGTTAAACTTTTCCACAGTTTACTGGCAGTGATCCATACGCCCGCTTCTAGTGGACTAGCTACTATGAATGAGGTAACGATCCAGTCAGATGAGGGTAGGTTTGTGTTGTGTCGAAGCAGTTGACAAATCGATACCTGCGTACGAGCAAGCACATGAATTCCGGAGGAAAGATGTATCGAATACCATTATATTTAGGCGAAAAGAAAACCAACATAAGTCTCCTCGATATCCTCAGTCTCCCCTCCAACCTAATATACTTTCATGCTCCTTTAAGTTTATTATATCCTCGTTGGAAATATATCAGTCGGACACGTTAGATCACCGGAATGGAGAAGACAAACGACTTCGAGGAATTTATACTGCAAAATAGTGGATCGTTTCGTGGTATTTAATTCAACTGAACCAGAATAGAAAAAGAGCTAACAGTAAAATAGGATGTCAGTGAGAGACTGAAATGTAGAAACAAGGTTTTTATTATACAAGACAAATCGTTAGTAAAGTAGATTTGCTCGTTTTGAGGTAGTCCTACTGACATCTCCCCTTTGAAGTGCTCGATCGTAGGGCTGCTGCTGAGGGTTGAGTTGCATTGGTATGACGGGCCTTCGTATTCAATCGGTCCATCTTCTGGGTGTGCAACTTTTGGAAATTGCCGGTTCATTCATCGGCTCTGGAGCTTTTGCCTTTTGAGCTAACTCAAATGTGTCGAGGAGAATCAACAGTGGAAGAACAGGGTCGAGGATAGCTGCCGCTGGACGTTAAGAAGCGCGCTGCTGATTGGCTTGACGGACCCAGATAGAGGAGCCTACATATACCTCACAGACAACTCTTCCGCCACGGCGCACACCTATGCCTTATGTCCACTTTTCCGCGCCAACACGATAGTCTTTCGCTAGCACAGATCGGCCGGGTATAAATATGTTATTTACAGCACCATGATGTAGTTTGAACTGAACTCCCATATTTATGTTTCTACCGGTTGGCGAATGTGGTGTTGGACGGATGACGTCAACGGTTCAGCGGGTCTTCCGGTTCATAAGTACCTCCGCCGGGGACTTACTATGTGGAACGTTAACATTTGGTGTCGCCCTGTAACTCAGCAGAAATGTCTCGATGATTTCCCGTGTGGTCCTCTCACCTTTGAGTTTTAGTAGTGCGCGTTTGAAAGTTTCCAGAAATCTTTCCACCTGGCCATTCGATTGTGAATGGAACGGTGGTGATCGCACGTGTTGTATGCTATTTTCTCGACATAAATCGTAAAGTTTGGAAGAGGTGAATGCACTACCGTTGTCAGAAACAATGACATTTGGAACTCCAAATTGGCTGGACACATGTCGTAGTTTTGAAATGGTAGCACAAGCAGTAATACTTTTCATGTTAAACACTTCTGGCCATTTGCTATAAGCATCTACTATAATGAGGTTTCGTTGGCCGTTGATTGGTCCCGCAAAGTCAATATGAAGCCATGACCATGGACTTTCTGGGACTGACCATGAATATACCTTTGTTTTCCGGGGGGATTTTGCAGATAGTTGGCATTTTGAGCACTTGCGTACAGGTTCTTCTAACTGCTTATCTATGCTCGGCCAGTAGACATAACTACGTGTTAGCGCCTTCATGCGGTTAATACCGGGATGTCAAAAATGAAATTGTTTAAGAACTTCGCTCTGTAATTCCGGGGCACAATTACTCGTCCCGTGAAGAGAAAGCAACCAACAACCTCGGAAAGTGAGGATCGACGTTGGTAGAATGGTTGAAGTTGTTTATTGGAACATAATGCGGGCCAGTGTGTGGAGTGAAAATGGAGTACATTTTGAAGTAACGGATCACAGGAGTGGCGTCGCGAACCATGGCAGAAGTAACTGGGAGTGCACGGATTGTAGTAGCAAGCGCCGCGTTGACTTCTGGTTCCACTGTTATTACATCAACAAAAGCGTCCTCGGATTGAGAATCCATGAGTTTTGATCATGCATCAGCTTGGCCAATAGCATCAGTAGACCGGTACTTGATGGAGAAGTCGTAGCCCAAAAGCATTGTAGCCCAACGTTGGAAACGGTTGGCTGCGTAAACAGGGATGCCTTTCTTAGATTCGAAGACGGCGAGAAGGAACTTATGTTCAGCAATGAGCGTAAAATGACGTCCATAAAGCATTTGTGGAACTTCCTGGTGGCGAAGATTATTGCTAAAGCTTCTTTTTCAATTTGACCATAATTGCGCCCGGTAACTCTTAGGGATCTAGTTGCGTGGGCAATTGTTTTTTCGTTTCCGTCGAAGAAAATGTGGAAGATGACATCTCCAATACCGTAGTTGGATGCGTCTGAAACAACAGTAATGTCGATGGCTGGATTCTAATGTGGGAATAGCGGATCAGAGCTGAGAAATGACTTTACTTTGTCAAAAGCGGACTGGCACTGATGTGACCGGTTCCAAGGTACATCCTTTTTTAAAAGATGATTTAGTGGTTCACGGACACGATGCATGTCTGACAAAAATGAACTGTAGTGGCTTACTAACCCGAGAAAGGAGCGAAAGGTTGCTGAATTTGTCAGTGCTGACATTTTTTGTATGGCAGAAATATTTTCTGGGTCTGGATGGCGACCATGTTCGTCAAAATTAAATCCAAGGTATTTGATGGAAGTGAGGAAACATGCAAATTTCTCTGCACGTAGATGAAAACGATATTGTTGAATTTGTTCGAGTACACAATGTAAACGATGCAGAAATTCTTCTTGACTAGAACTTGTAAGAGCGATGTCATCCAAATAAGCAGCAACTCCTGATAACCCGTTTAGCATGGCATCCATGGTTTGTTGAAATAGTGCTGCTGCAGATTTTACCCCCAAATGGCAGACGGTTAAATTGTCCGAAGTTCTTTGGAGTCATCATAACTTCTGTTTGAAGGTAAGCATCAGCGAGATCCAGCTTTGCGAAACATCTTCCACCAGTGAGTTTGGTGAACAAGTCTTCTGGTACCGGTAATGGATATTGGTGAGAGTCTAACATGGCGTTTAATACAGTGGAATAATCAGCACATATGCGCACCTTGGCATTTGCTTTTTTGATGACAACAATGGGAGCTTCCCATGATGAATAGTTTATTGGCTGGATAACTCCGGATTGGTGGAGACGAAAAAGTTCATTCTCCATACTTACAAGAATGGCAAATGGTACGGGACGCTTCTGTCTGAAAATTGGTGTGGAGTCAGGTTGGAGTTTGAGGCTTGCCTTGGTTTTGGTACAGCATCCAAGGCCACTTTGGACGACATCGTTGAATTTTGTCTCCAGTGTGTTAGTAAAGTGTTCTGCAATGTCTGAGGAGGATGAAAATTTCAGAGTACTGCACACAGATGATAACGGTGCACTGAAAAGGTCAAGTTTCTTAATCCAATCAGGTCCAAGAATGTTCAAATTAGGACAGTCAGTGAGATAACAAGTTTCTGGGAACTGTAGATTGTTGAATAATACATTACAGGCTAACTTGCCAGTCAGAAGTAGGGTACCGCCAGATGCACTTTGGGCCGATGATTCGTGAATGACACAACAGGTTTTTCTATCAACTCCCAATTGGAACGTGAGATCAACGTAATATCTGAAGCTGTGTCGGGCTGCAGACGGATTGGAACTTCGTTGATGGAAACTGTAAGGTATTTCCTGCGGGACTCAAATTCAACTTGGAATGTTGCAAACACATATCTGGACTGCGGACGTTTCTTGTACGACTGCTTTTTGACTGTGTTGCTGATTGGACTGTCAAAGCTCTTTTGGTTTTTGGGTGCGGTGGATTTTTGAGTGTGGCAGAAACCTTCATTGTGGCCCCACCGATGAAACTTCTGGTACTGGTGCTTCTTGAATGGACAGAAACGTGCATAATTCCACTCGCCACAAGACCATCACGATGTTGGCGGTTTTTTCCCATGTGTAACAGTGGTTCGTTTCAGTGCCATGACACCACTGGGATTAGTAAGTCGTGACGTCTGCTGTACCATTGCGGTATCGTGTTTAAGATTACGCAAAAGTTGGCATTCGGTAGTGAGTACTTTCGCGGCAATATCCTTCTCGTGCTCAAGCTTGGAAAGCGAATATCTGATTCCTGCGGAGACTGAAGACCAGCAACGAAAATTAGACACTGGAACTGATACTCTGTAAGTGACTGCAATTGAAATATTTCACAATGGCGGTTGACAACACCAGCAAAAGTGACGTAATCGTCGGCATCGCGCTTGACCAATTTGAGACAATTATATCGGACAGTAAAAAGTGAATGTTGCTCACCGAAAATTTCACGGAGTTGTTTCACTGTTTGTGCAAAGTATGGATCCTTTGGATGGTTGAGAAGAATAAAGTTCGTGAACCGATCGTGCTTGAGGGTTCCAAGTTTCCGGACCAAGAGACGGGATTTCCACGCATCGTCTTTATCGGTGAAATAATTTTGAAAAGTATCTTCCCAGCGACTGTGCGATGAATCAAATGTGAGACCAAATGCTGGCTTGTAGAGGAATGCGATAACAGTTGCTGCGATAGAATCCGCAAAGGATAATAAAGTACCAATCTGAGATGGAGCCGATGTCTGATGACTGATAACTTGAGTAAGAGACTGAATAAGTCGCAACTGCGATTGTTCGAGCTGCGCTTGTTGCTGTTGAAGGATTGCTTTCAAATCCTCAGCTGAAACTGACGTTTATGTTCGCGTTGGGTTCCCGTCGCCAGCATTATATCCTCCTTGATAATATATCAGCCAGACACGTTAGATCACCGGAATGGAGAAGACAAACGACTTCGAGGAAGTTATACTGCAAACAAGTGGACCGTTCCGTGGTATGGAATTCAACTAAACCAGAATGGAAAAAGAGCTAACAGTCCAATAGGATGTCAGTGAAGACTGAAATGTAGAAACAATGCTTCAGTATACAAGGGAAGTCGTTACTTAAATGGATTTATCCGTTCGAAGGTAGTCCTACTAACACGTTTGCTGAACAGAGGTTCGCAAACCACGTGTTTTACGGAAGACAGAAAAGGTTGCTGTATTTCTTTCCACATAGTGCGAATTTCATATGTGACTCAATACCTACAAAAAACGGGTTCCACGGTTTCCTTGTGGTGGCAAAGAACATCACTGATACGGCGTGCATCCTTCCTGTACGATCTCCCAGTGGATCCTAATTATGTTAGATAATCACCCCCACACTCATTGACGCCATACATACAAGCATTTAAAAGCTGGCATCATGGTTGTCCAGCTTATCTGACATGCCCATCTGACATCATTAGTTGCTTGTCAGTTTAAAAAACGTTAATTACTAATTCCCTTATAATATGACGCGAATATTTGGGGAAAGAATTCCTAACGGCTTTAGTCGCTCCTAGGAAGTTAAAAATCTCCTTTCCTCTTCATTGTCTGAATGAAACTGCTTCTGCTGTACCTATCCTCATATCAAGTTGCGCGGTTTTTGGAGTCAGGATTGTTCAGTCTACTGATGTTTTGTGCGCAAATGAGTGCTCATCGGAAAAAAGGGTGGCAATATCAGACGTAACGGGAGCGATGCGCACCAGGAGGAATACCGCAACTAATCTCTGGCTGAATAACAACAGCCTGAACCTACGAGCTAAGATTGTGCACCACTGCCGATGCATAGACTTCACGGGTTTCCACGAAACGTTGTTAACAAGAAATAAGGCTCCAAGTGTGGATTCATGAAGCAGATATTTTTGTTGGAAAGTCCTCAGAAAATTGACGTGGACCCCAAAAAATTTCTACTTTCCGGTGACAGAGAAATCATCAATTCTGAATTTTTAAAATCCTAATGTTAATGAGATTAAAGATGATTTAGGGTTTGATAAGACGTACAAGTTAAGTTGCTAATGTCTGATCTCCATTTTCATTCAGTATTCTCGGTAAATCAGTGTTATTTTTCTTAGCCACAATCCTCATCACCTTGTTCACTTTTCTGGTTACTGACGCCTTCCTGGATGGCTCCTCAGGTACTACACGGTGAGTATGTCTTTCGGCAGTTTACTGACAAACCCAAGCGTGCAGATATTGCGTTTTAACTTTACAGCCGATAAACTGTTCCATCTTGGATCCGTCTGTCCTTGACGTAGCTCACGATAAGTCGGTGGGTTAACTTTTTCACACGAAATATAGTCTACGTGAATTGACATTGATCAATTCACTGAGCGCACTGTTCATTTTACGGCAGCGCAGCAAACAGAATTATTAAAACGACATGTGATTTGAGGGATTTGTGTCCTGATCAGCGTCCGCCTGGACGATTCCGACAAATAAGTAGCTGAATACGTTTCAGCCAGTATTGATGGGTGGGAACTACATTCAGGATAGGCGGCTCATGAAAATAAAAGTAAGCCATTGGCGGAAACTGAGAATACATTTGTGTCCTGGAACTAGTGACGACCTTAGATACAGATATCACAAGAGCACTACAGGAGAATGGCAGTGTCGTTGCTGACTTCCACGCACTAGATTGCGCAAACAGCCTTGTGCTCAGAGGCTGAGAAAACCCGAGGTGTTAGTTAACGCTAGTTTGAACTTCGAGGTACATGCCAGTACTGGAAGAATTCGATCGACCCAGTGGTTCTCTGCTCTATGGATACGGTTATTCCTCTGTGGTGATGCACATCTAAAGTGCAAGAGATGCGATATAAGAGCTGAGTGCCCGGAGCCAAAATTTTTGGGGCCGTTGGATAACGGAGCAACGCTGTTACGGGGTTCAGTTTTTCCTTCATTGAGTTGACAAAGGATTCTTCAACACAATAAGCAGGTTGATCTGGCGACATCAAATGAAAGAGATGGCGGAAAACACAGTATAAGTCATGGCCTAAGATAGCAGGATTCGGTGTCGCTTTGCTCAATGGGCTTTGCTTCGTTTCCGAAATAAGCGTAGATTCACCTTTTGAAATGATTTGTGAAAAGATTTTATTTCTTTCGAAGTTTAGTCATTCTCCTTAAGTTTTGGAGTGAGATGTCACCTGGTGTTTTGAACTGAAGGCTAGTGAAGGCCAATGAGTCATACTCGTTTTCGCAGCCCCGATCTCAGTAAATTTGTCCCGGGATAGGCTTGGAATCATTATTGTAGTAGACAACAAACTTTAATTATACCGATGTTAGGCCACATCAGCAAACCGCATCTTACCTAAAAACTCTCCACTACAATATATTTGCATCCGCCTTGTTCATCGTGTGGTGGCACATAGGCTAGAATAGATTGGCACGGGAGACTACCCTAGACATTCGTCTAACCTTAAAAGGTTTATTGTCCTTCCTTTGATATAGGACAAAAGGCTGGCCCACTTATCAAAATAACTGTCTGTTCTATACAAGGTCAAGTAGGCTTAGCACGGAAGACTGACTTCTTTCTGTCGGACAGACTAAATGGGTAGATAAACATAAGGATATTTCTAATTCAAGTGGATCCCTATGTAGGGAGTACTCCAAAAGCCTTGGCAAACGATACAAATAACAGCGCATAAGATAGAGCCTAAACGAAAAGAAGCGTACTAAGAGAGATGCTGTTATTTCAGTTTTGGATAAACTGGAGTGAATTTTAAAGAATTACATAATATTACCATTAGTCTGCAGCTGTGACCAAAATATTTACTCGTCTCGCTCCCAGTGTAAATATTTTGGAAACACCCAAGTTGAACTATGTGCAGCAATGTTAAACTGATGTGTGGTGAACGAACATTAGTTGACGATCTGCCTTGGATGTTTTGAACTTGACAACATGCAGCTTCCGGTAGCTTACCGTCGATGTGTTTAATCGTGATTTAGTAGTAGAATATTCTAAATATCATGATAGTTCGGATTTCGAAAATAATAAAAACAATGACGTTAGCATATCAGTCTTATTCTACTTTACCTCCATGCATATGGACTTATTTATTTCAAAGACCTCTATCCAATTCATGTGAGATCATAACTGCTCCCAAACGTACCTAGCTTAGTGACTATGACAGGAACATAAAGCATGCGACCGGTTTCTCCCTTAATGGTGCTCATTAGATAGGCGAAGTCTTTGAGTTTTTGTCAACCTTATGTTCTACTTGAACCCAAATTGGACTGTTTTCGAGGATTACCCTTATTTGCGAATCGATTTGGTTTTCGTTGGAGACCCAATTGAGGCTCTCGTTTATGATATTCTTCAACTCACTGTGCTGCACAAAGGCCCCCTCATGCTTCAGTTGGTACGATATTTAAGATATCACAGTATATTTCCATAAAAGACACTACTCACAAGGTTGCTGAAAATTCTTCGAAAGTCATCCATCGGTTTCGTCCTTCTTGGAGCTCATCATGTAGATGCGGTTTCCGAGCATCCATCAACTTTTTATTCTACTTGAACGCAGATTGCACGAAATTAGCAAAATACACTCAGCAGCACTTCAGCAACCTTACGAGTAATGAATTACGTCTATACATGTATCGCGATATCTCTAATATAGTGCCAACTGAAATATAAGACGGTTTGGTCCAGCACATTGCGCTGCTTAAAAACATCATACACAAGCGTTTCAGCCGGGTTCTAGATAACTCTGTCGTCAAAACCTAATTGGTAGGAATGCATTTCGCTAGTATGAAGCCTGCATACCCACCAACTGGTAATTGTTTTCCACAGTATTTCAAAAGATTAACCGCTCGGTATTCAGTGAGACTCCTAAAGCATCTAGTGGCACAAAATATCATGTGATTTATTAGAAATCTAACGAATGAACACGAAGCAATTTTGAATAATTTCATACGAAGACTTCCCCTACCCGCCTTTCTCTAAATAGGTCAGTTTATGTAGTCAGATGTGCATGATTTAAAAACAAATCCAGTTTTCAAGGTATGGCTGCAGAATGTGATTACTACTCCTATATTCCCGGGAGCTCGAAAGATTTCCTGTAGCATATTAATCAACCGATAAGTGGCTGCTCTGCCGTTTTTGTTAACACAAAAGACGAATTCGTTTTACACAATACCAAAATCCTAATTAAGACTCAGTTCGCTAAATTGAATTCGCATGTGCATGAGATTATCGTAGTCTTTTCTGGAGCTGGTACATTTGTCAGCAAATAAACGATTCAGTTCATCACAGGTGTTTGTCTAAAAACAAACCTTTTCCGAGGTGATTTCCTTATGCCCACTATCCGACATTTTCACCCCAAAGCGGCATAATTCGCCTGGTAATAATGGCCACTCATATTGAGTCACTAATTAGTTGTAGTCTCGTGACCTCCGCAGGCTGAATAGAATTTTGTAAGCGAATATTTCATGCCTCTGGTCTGAAATCATGACATATCCCAAAAGGTTTCCTTTTTTGGAGGAGTAAATAAGTCATGTAAGGAGTATCCACCTAAATGAGCGTGCAAAGTGACGCATTCGACCCGATATCTCACAAACCATTGTGTCCATGATTTGCCTCTTAGATTATTCGCTTGAAACTAATTGGCTCCCTGTTTGCTGGATATAAAATTCGCCATTTCAACTGTTCTGTCTGTTTTGAATGAGAATTTTATTGGCAAATTTGAAAGGCAGCTTGATGTGAGCTTCCTATAGATAGACCAGCATACCGGTTGTTGTCTTAAACGCAGTTTTGTACACCGGGGTGCATATTGAATGTTTACATACGGGTTTTTGTTCATTTTGGGTCCTCAAATTTGTGGACCAATGTCCAAAATAAATGAGCCCGCGACCCATAATCGGCCACAAAAGGTCCTATTGTGTCATCATTGTGAGTGAATGGAATCATCCTTTTCGAGCCAACAAATGGACTTTTTCTAACCTACTTCGGAGAGAAATTGAATTTATGCACGTGCATAACACAGATAGTGACACCGAAACTGAGCAATATTAAAACAATGCCTCAGTTCGACCAACGTAAGTGGAACATGAAGTTGTATTCACATATTTTAGACTACTGTTGTGTCCTTTGTGTTGATCTCTTCCTTCGTTCTAATTTGAGATTTCTGGTGATGATGATGATGATGGTGATTATGCTAATGATGATAACATGTTGAGTGAATGAGCCTTATAACAACAACAACCTTCATATTCTATTGGTTTATTTTTAAAAGAAATTGGGTCACGTTAGCTTATCTACTTTGCAAGCGAACAAAAGTAGCAACATCCGAACTGCAACTCAGTCTCGCTGCTTCCGCACTCACAATATTCTCGATTTGGATTTTGGATTCACGCATTCCGGAAGAGATGTAACAAATTAATGTATGCCTGTAAATGTCTGTTTGTGTGTGTCTCTTTCATATTCCTGTCGCTGCTGAGTCTTCGGCTGGCGATCGACATTTATCTGCGCTTCTTGAAGGTATATCTAGTTTTCTCTTGTGCTTTTCGATTCTGATGATTTTGGATTACTTCGCACCTCGGTTCACTGAGCCGAACATGTTCGTAGCGCCTTCCTTCTGAGAAACGCCAGCTCACTTATATCCGACCAGCGCTGGAAACAATGAATGGCCCTTCTCATCTTTTAAATCCTGTCCCGGCAATCAGTTCAACACCTGAATCCGTACACATGTCGTGGACTTTGAGCCGGTAACACGTCGAAAGTCATTTGTCGCGTGTTGTCCGGCCTCACCATTCGCACACCTTTCCAGATGGACAAGATAATAAACAGACGAATAACTCGCATTAAATACCTAACCAAACCAGCAGAGAAAACCAATTGTGTTTACGCGATTCACTGCAAGACAGCGTCTACATCCGACAATACGGTAGACAGCAGAGGGCTCAAGTCAACAAACGTAAACTGCACTCGTGCACCGCTTCGAGAAACCCAGTTGTGCTAAACAAATTAGGGTGGGACTAAGCATTTGCATTCCTAGACCGTCGGATCCATATTGACGGTGCGTACAGCTTCAGACAGAACGTGAATGCATGGTGATATTTTATCGAATCCATAACTGTCAACATGACCAATTCCTGCGACAATCGGTTCAACAATGCTGGGGCATCCAGACGAATCACTTGGCTGTAAAAATTTTTAGATGAGGAGTTCCTCAAAGCAACTCGGGTTGGTGATTTGGCCACTTTTATAATTCCTTTGATAATAATGGGCTTAAAGGACTACCCGGTAGAAGAAAATTTCCTTTGTTTCCTCTTAGGGACGAAGTTTATGAATCTGAAAAGGGAAATTTTCTTAGTTTGCATGCAAATCTTTTAGTTGAGTAGTTTGGAAGATCAGAGCAAGCTATTTAATTTTGCTTATTAATGACCTTCTGGTGTTTATTGTGTACAAACTGCTAAGGAATCGCACGCTAGAATTGTTGAGCATAAAAAGGAGGATAAACAAACCACCAAGGAATACGGATGAATACCGAACGCCGGTCAAAGACCAAACGATTGCATTGAATGCCTTAGACACGGGACATGGAATAGATCTGGAGAATGTGTAGGTTTTAGGACGGTGACTGCGATTCACATCATAGCGGCTGATAGCCGAGTCGGTGGAAATTTACAGGCATCATAGCTTGAGCAGAATCGAGGGTGTGGAACTGGCGAGTATATGGAAAGTAGCCATAGATAAGCTAGATAAGATAGATAAGCCATAGATAAGATAGATAAGATAGAGTTGACCCGTGACTATGGTTGTCAGTGCGCATGGAATAATTCGCTCATCCACATGGACGGACGGAAAGCGCAAACGAAGTTAAAAGTGGATCATCACGTGAACCGGACCAGAAGGACCAGACCCCAGGCTGGACCCATCGGCCTAACACTTGGTCACCCACCCTACCACGCAAAGTCCCTCGACCGAAACCTAACAGAGATTCAGCATGACTTAGCTGATTGGTTCTACTTCCGCATCAAGTCTTGACCAACCTCGTAACCTAGTCACTTGCCCTGACGAAGCTTTTGTGTCAAAAGCGAAAATTTGCCCAGCAATAAATCAACTGATTGTTTACCAAACCTCTCTGAAACGATGACTACACAATGGGCCTCAAACATTTTCCAATTTATCGAGAATGAATGAACCACTTGAGCAAATCGATGTTTTAGGAAAATATCGTTGCCCTGCCTCTAGATGTGCATCAGCTCCAGAGAGGGATGACTGACCAAAAACTACCGTTTTCACTCAAAGTGCCTATTCTAGTCTATTATTCCTTTAAGATGCTTCCTTCATCCTTTAACTTGCACGATGCAGTTGCATTGTCCACAAACACGTTTGAGGTCATGATATAATTGACCTCTTTAATTAAAGATTCCCGATATCACACAGAAAATTCTGTTTATTGGTAATCAAGTTACTCCAGAAACACAGGCAAACCAGATTTCGTCGGAAACACCAGGTGTTACAGGGCCGCAGTGGACCCTTCAGTAGAGGTCTTCCCCTCAAATGGACGACTTTGCACTCGTCCTGCGAAATTTAGTGGTGAATCTGAGGGTAACACATCAGTGGAGATCAGCCAATTTTCAGGAAAAACAAGCAGTGCCTGCGTTCATCTACAAGTAGTTGTGGTAATGGTGTTTGTTTCCAAATCCAACTGGCAAGTTTCGTTGCATGGGTTAATTTCGGTACGCAGTATTTTCAGTGACCAATGAATAAGACAACGGACTTTGTCATATAGATTACTGTCCCCAGAGATTGTGTATTCTAGTGAATCCTGAAACACGTGATGGGGCTCAAACTCAGAATTGGTGTGTATAGCTTGTTTTCAAGTCAACGACTGGAACACCTCAAGGTACCATGAGGTCAGTCGACGGTCGAAACTTTAGGCGTTTGGCGCATAATTCAGTTGCAATGAACCATGTCCCTTGAGGATTATGACACGAGAAATGAGGCCTCTCTCTCCATTTGAGTTACAATGAAGACGGAACGGTTCGGAACAGCTGAGAATGTCATTAGACTGTTCTACCAATTAAGGACTGTTTAGTTTGATCAATGAATGAGCTACGGTATTGCCAGAACTCGTTTGAGCCGCAGGCAAGATCCAGCACTTGGAGGTGGATGTACAGATAATATAGCTCTCACATTCTAGGTAAACGACATGAACCACACATGGTTTGTGTAACAGGAAAACGATGCTCGCAACAGTCGGCTCCTCGAATCCAAAATACGGAAGATTGACTTTCGTCGCGATAGTCACTGATGGTAAATATGGTTGTTGTTACTTCAAGGGCATCTTTATGGGGCATCAAAGATACGGAGAAATTAGACTTGTTTTTCTGAAAGTGAATTTGTGACCACCAAGGTTACTAACAGGAGTGGGACTGCCGAGGTTCTGACGATCGAACGTAGGGTCCACTAGCATTTACAAGTTAAAGGTGAGAGCTAGTGTCCTTATTAATGGATTATATCATATTATGAGGGTCATAGTGAAAGGTTTGGTTAATCAAACTTGTTTTTTTCATTGTATATCAAACGTATTCCTCATGCAATGGACAAGCAAAATTCGAAGATAAGCCGGCTGTTCCCACGCAATGTGGCACTGATTTTCTCATTCAGTCAATGCGATTTTTCGAGGAAGAACAGTTGCGTCTGGTGACTTTGAGTGTTAACCGGCCCCTGAGGCAAAGTTATATTAAAGCCGCATTGACCCATGTAACTGTAAACCCCTCATAGCCTTATACACAACACCCTACGTGAATTTGTTTGTGAGAATCCTGAGACCTATGTTTGGCTATCTTCTGGGGACTTTTGAGGCAGTTACATTTTGGAAGTGCACAGTTTGTACATACGACGGCGACCGACTGCTGAAATTTTAATGCGATCCAGGTAAAAATTTGATGCGATCATAAAAATAAAGGGTCCGGTTCGTGAATCTGTTTTTTTAATGCGTCGAATTGTCCACTTGACTGATTTTTTAAAAGCAAGTGCGTCAGATAAATGTTTCTGGTTGACTAAGGCCACCTCGATCGTCCGCGCTGATTGGTCAAGTTCTATGTAACGCTATTGGCCATTACCAACTTCGTCGTCTTGGTGCATCAGAAAGAGTATAAATGAAAAATATTCGTGTCGCAGGATCTCCGTCGAAGGGCAGTTGAGAACTAACTCAATGGCGCCGTTGACACAATCACAGATTGCTGGCATCCATAAGGAGCTTTTACCAATTCTTTCCAATGATGAAGCGAAAACCAGCTTTGGAGTGGGTGCTTACAAGGCGTAAGTGACATTTTTGCATGAAGAACTTATGTATTGTGTTTAATCCGTTCTTCTATGCAATCTACTTCAATTTATTCTCATTTACCGTTACATAGCTTTCTCGGAGCGCACCCCGAATACATCCAATATTTCAGCAAACTTAATGGGCTAACAATAGATAATGTGTTTGAATCTGAAGGAATCAAGTACTACGGACGAACGTTGGTGGATGAAATCGTAAAAATGCTCACTGCTGGAGCCGATGACGAAAAACTCAAGCAAGTGCTCCACGATAGTGGGAAAGCTCACACAGCAAGGAATATTGACAATGCCACATTTATGGTGAGTAAGCTTTTCATGTTCCTCAAACGAGTATCTGAAATGAGATTGGCTCGGGGACTATATGGCCCATTTCCTATTTTCGCGCAGAGCGGTCTTCCGGTCTTCGTCGACTACTTCAATAAGTCTCTCACAGTCCCGGAGAACCAAACTGCAATGGAAGCTTTCCTGAATCACGTGTTTCCAAATATTTCAAAGGACCTTTAGAACCTGTGCCTTGGCCACGATGTAGAACCGCACACTGGAAATAAACAGAACGCATGCCTTTCATTTTTTTTTCATTCAAAATGGTGCGGGAGCTTCACACACCGATTACTTTCCGACCGCGAGTGTGAATTCCGAAAGTCTGTCATCGTGGAGCACGTCAGGTAGGTAGGTGTAGTCTCATTTGCCCTAAAGAATAACGGGAGAGCTAGTTAGAAATCTTCCGTTACCACATCTAATCACGAAAGTGGGCACATAGCTGTGTACAATCTATTGCTCAAGTAGAACAGAAAACTGCTGAAAACTCGAGGACTGCATCTACTTGATGAACCCATAAAACAGCGAAACTGGGGGCGAGGTGTTGAAGAGTTTACAGAAAACTTAATATTGCGCTTTCATCAGGAAGAAAGTACTGCGATTTAGTTACACCCAGCTGAAATACAATGAGAATTTCCGAAAACCGATCAAATATTTCTTCGAAAAACATGAGTAACTTAGGCAACATAATAACATAAGCTGATCTGTTCAATTTTTTATGCAAACCTGCAAAATTCGGCTCCCCAAGGATCAGTCGCCACTCTTGGAGACCATTGCAGGTTCCCCATCAAGGAGAATGAAAAATCGAGAATCAAAAGAGATATCGAGGATTGAGACAAACTGTCACCCTACTAGCCGATGAATGGTCTTATCTTTGGCAGTATTTGGTTTTCTGCACGCATCTGAAGGAACACCCGTTTCTAAAACATGTTTTTTGAATCAGTCTCAATGAGAAAGTGGTCTGTTCGATATAACTCACTTCTTAAGGGGAGCAACTGTCAACCCTTTTCGACACTGACTTTGTGAGAATAATAACTGCCTGGGTGGGATCATGGTCTCAAATAGGAACTATCAGTTAACTCATAGAAGCGAAACCTAGGTGAACGATTATTGTTGGTCTTGGGCGTGCTGATATCTGACAACCTTGACTTATATCCACAACAGATTGATTTTTCAATATTGTTCGATACCAGCTCGACAGAAGGGAATCCACCGAATTATAGCTTGATGCACATTCACAACTATCTGTTTTATTACGTCATCCTTTCATTTTCAGTCTGATTCAGGGCTCGAAAAAGTAGCAACTGACGAACAGCTTTTAAGTACATTTGAAATATACCTACAACTAAGACGACTATCTGCAGGAACAAAAATACCACCGTCCAAACCTACGGAAGCCGACTTGTTCGCCTCATGTCTAAGTGTCTATAATCTTTTCTGAAGGATCACTGCGTCGAAACGGACTTGTTGTAGCAATCCCATGGCTTGTGGCGAAATCGTGACAGGCTACTAGTACATGTGAAAAGTTCACCGTTTCGAAGACTTGAACAAAAGTGCGTGGATACTACTCTCAGCGACCGTGTGATTTGATGACCAACAATGTCGTGTTCCAGTAACGTACGCAAATATAGTTCCATGAATCGAATTCCATTATTATCCATCCACTGTAAACAGCATACCGTCTACAGTTACGAGACGAACCAAGTCCTCCCAGAGTGGACATGATGATAACGTTTCTACTTCTTACGGCATGCATTCTGCGTATATTTATCACTATTTCCCGCTTTTAGCACAATGAATATATGTAAAAACGATAAATTCTTTCAGGTTGACTACCAGTGGGCAAACAAGATCCGAAAAAACTGAACCTAGGGAATTATTTGAGAAGCCTTTACGGTGAAAAATTATTATTTTCGGGGTACGCAAGTGGCCAAAACAGCATTTGTCTCGTTACTCCCATGGTTATAAACCGTTGTGGTCGGTATTTCTTTTATCATTGCAGTCATGTTCTATTTTGAGTTCTCTCTACTCTGTTGTTGCCCAACAGTAAACGATACCTTGCACGGCAGCAGCATAGTCTCAAAGCTGCTGCCGCTGTGGATTATGACGATGATGTGGATATTGATCATGTCAAACAATTGAAGGGAAGCCTTCAACCGTAATGCAGCAACATTTATAGGCAAATAAACCCCGTAACTTGTATTTTACCAGTCAACCTCACATTCACAGAAACTATGATAATAACGCATCTAACAGCCCTACCTCCCGTTGCCGCACTCTGTAAAATGAAACTGGAAGTTAGTGTAAAACAGTCAACAGCCACTACTTGGAAGTAGATAAAGGGATCCCTTCAGCAACGGCAGGAAACTTGTTGTTAGTTACATCACTTGTCTGTCAGGTGTTCCAACCAAAAGTCGATGTTATTATAAGCCGCTGCAAACGTCACATGGATTCCTGTTCAGACATGGTTGGACATTGCTGTTGGTGATTGTAGCATGCCTGTGTCGACCCACTGGGAAAATGATCAACTTCAGATAACTAGGTTTAGTACCTGGTTTTCAGTAAGGCGAGGAAGCTCACATTCCTGAGAGTTTATGAAAATCGCTGCGATAGATGTAGTGTATTATCCACATAGAAGCTGTCCTAACAAGCATTGCGCGAGAAACTAGAAGTACGCAGGCTTCACCCTAGCTATTTTGAATTCTTTTGGTGGACCAAGTGAAGCAGGATACTTAGAAGTATAGCTTATCAATTCCCTTTTCCCGAGAAGAGATTTACTTAGATGCATTTAAAAGAAGCGCAAAAAAGCCTGAAGGAGATCCAACGACTGGAAACCGAAATTAGTCTGTGTGGCGTGTGACTAAAACCATCCCCACCAATAGCAGAGTTGAAAGCATTTCAAATACACCTTGTTTCAGAGGTCTTTACCTCTTCACATAATTCCATCTTCCTATTCCTCTTCTCAAGCGACTGCAGGTCGTAACAAACAAATACGAAGCAGCTGACATCTGTCGGTTTTGGTCTCACTGTCCTCCTAAACCGTATGTCATATGGATAATGAATGGTTAGGTCTACTTGACCAACAAACAAACGCGTGACAATAGAACAACGATACTGTCTGTCACCAAGCTGAAAAGCATGCACAGTCGTGGTTTTATCGGTGCGCCGTGGAAATTCACATTGGAGGTACGTCGTCGCAAACAACTGCAGGGACTAAGCTGCAAGTAAAATAGGTTCATGAATCCTACTCTATTCGAAGCCAGCCAGGATTTCCAACAAATGATCTCATAGGAAAAAAAATAAAATCTATCAGCTGTAGCACCTTTTCGGTGCCTAGCAGCCATATCACCAGAAGAAAGCCCGAGGGCTGGGATACTGACAAATCGCCCAAGCCGAGACAGGGGAAGTCAACAGGCAGAGTTCCGGTTCGAACCACGAGCCTTCCGAACATTAAATTCGCCCCCTCCCTAACCACTGAGCCATCTCAACTCCATTCTGGCTCAGAAAGATCAGAACTATTTAACATTTACTAATGCGCAGCCCAAATGTTGTTGCTTCAACCCAGTCGTTTCTCTGGTATACTCAGGTCATCAAGTGCTGAGATGCCGGCGGATCAAAAAGTTCATTAGGCGTTCTTTCCATCCAGTCACGACAGACGAGCCCGTCTTATATGCGAACCGATTTTCAGAGTGGGATGTTGTTCCAGGCTATTTTTGACCTTTCACTGAGAATCCCTGACAATGGTGGACGTCCTATTCGTGTTTCTATGTGTATTGTCCGTAGGTAATTCAGGGAAACAACAGCGAACCGGATCAACAAATTGACTCGCATCTATCGGCTGACTTTTGCTAATAAGATTAGTTTTGTCGATATAACCGAACAGAATTTGATTGCATTTGAACAGTATCTTCGACCGCTCCAGCTTCCTACACAATTATCTTTAAAATACGTCAAATGAGTTGATGGTATAATAGAGGTAGCAATCCAAACGACATTCCTCCACAAAGTCGATGCTACTTTGAGAAATACAGTGCAGTTGAAGGATCACATTCAGCATTCACTCTATGAACCTGACAGGGAGTATATTTGCCATAAATGCAAAGTGATGATTGTAGGTGTACGTTGACTAATGTTCGGTAAACGTCCTCAGTCACGCCCCCTCTTGTTATGCATTGTCCAGAATGAAATGTTTCTTATTCATGGAGAGACGAACGCAGTTGACGATACTCAGCTCTAGTTTTTAATCTTGATGTGAAATATCGGATACTATTTGTGTATTTAACTGCAGTGCTTTTCCGCCCAATTAAATTTCGGCTCATGATATTTCCACCCCGGTAGATTAAGACATCAGTATTCCAGAAATAAGAACATTCTGTCCAGCAGTCCATATCAGGTTCTTAAAGCCCTCGATCAGTGACAATATCATATTGTTTGCACCTTAACCGAATGCAACCTAGTATTTTACCTAAAAACAAACAAATAAACGCCACAAAACCTATTTCGAGAATATATTTTACGTTGGTTTCGTCCGACGAAACAAAGAAAACGGTAGGTTTTCAGTGGATAGCTCGCAGAACTTTCCGGGGATTCAATGAAAGTTTTCCTCAGACGTCCATTCTTGCACCCTAGTTCTGCTGAGACAGCTAACAACTCTGCCGTGAAGTACTCGAGGACTATCCTCCTTTCTCGTCCTACGAACGAGCTTGTTACAAGGCAGTTTTCGACTGTATTTCGGTAAGTCATGGTAACAAGCAGCGGCACGTCGAGAACAAATCGCACGCCACGGGCTAACAAGGCGATTGATCCACTAAAATTTCTAATAAATTCTTTGTTCAATGGAACCTGAAACACAACTTCAGATGAGAATTTTGTTCCATACGTGTCTTATTCGAAGCTGTTGCATTTCGCGGGTTGACTAGTTTACACCATGAACTTGTGTGGACGATTTTTATTTCAAATCCAAATGTCGTTTCTCACGTCATGAGTATCATAATGAGTATCGCAAAACTCAAAAAGTGCGAAGTCATATCAGTTTTCTAGTTGAGTTTCATCAATCAAAAAGCAAGTTTTAATTTTTTTCCGCGTTCTTACCACAAGAAACTACCACGAACGTGTCACTGAGGGCTCACGTGTTTTGGCCTGACCAATGTTTGAGGACCGAAATCGCCCGACTCGAAGTGGCCGTAGGCCTGAACGTCTCGGCTTTCAACCCATGCCTTACTCTGAGTTGCGTTC